GGAGGCAGATCCTGGAAAACCAGCAGTGCAGAATGGTGAGGTCCAAACAAGCAGTCTCTGTTGCCAGTTCAGAGCCTCCCAACATGGCAGTGGGGGGCTTCTGGGCGGTGGTGGCTGAACCCTTTTTTTAAAACTGTATTTACTCCATAAGACGCACATACTTTCTCCCCCTCTATTGGGGGGGAAGTGCATCTTATGGAGCGAAAAATACAGTAACACAGTTTAAAATCTTTTCCCAAGTATTCGGTTTTTAAAATGGCAAATTATCAGTGGAAGTGTGTGCAACATCTTGTCAAAAGTTCCTACTGTCAAAAGCTTGCCTAAGCAATATCAATTAGCTGCCAAAGACCTACCTAAACAAGGTTTTCCTGTGCAGTTGGATAGTCATTGTTTTCTTTTTTTGAAAATCAGCAGAATTCCTTGCAGCTATGAACTACAGCTTCTCAAAGACATTTGAGCAATCAAAGATTTAAATACATAGAAAGTACATAATGGATATGTGGTGTCAGAAGGTTTGCAGTATTCTAATGCCCTTCATGGCATTTGGCTTATGCAGAAAATCTCCTGATATAAAGGTGATGGATATAGAGTGACTGATGTAGAACATTTCCTTCTCTGTAACAGAATGTAAAGTGTAAGCTTAGAAACAGTTCAGAGTTATCACAGTTCTGTTGGCTTACCTACCATCATAACTGATAGAAAAGTGTACTTGCTGATGAACTATTAAAATAGCTTTTAGGACCAATCAACTAAGATTATTATCAAGAACAGACAGTTGTTCCTTATCAACATGTTTGACACTTAACAGGATGTAATTCACATGTAAGCTTTTATTTCTTGGTGGAAAATTAATGGAGGGCAAAGACTATCAATGGCTGCTAGTCATGATGTATATGCTACTGTTAGGATCCTTGGCAGCATTCCTTTGCTGTGAAACACCAGGAGAGAATTATTAACTTCATGTCCTGTGCCTGGGTTTTCCAAAGGCATCTGTTTGGTCACTGTGGGAAACAGGATGATGCACTAGATAGGTCTGATCCAGCAAGACTCTTCTGCCTTTAACTCTTACAGTTGACCAAAGAAGCATGAAATATTTGTAGTTATAGAAACTTACATAAAATTTAAATAGCATAATGTATGCATTAACCATAATGTATGCATTTGTTTCAGGGTGGATTTGATTTAAATCACATTGATTTAAAATCATAATTTAAATTCGAAAAGTAGGATTTTGGCAACTTAAATAAAAAAATCATTTTTATTTAAAACGTTATTTAAATCAGTTTGATTTTTAAAAGTATTTATTTATTTATTTATTCAGTTTTTACCCCGCCCCTCTAGACAACGTCTACTCGGGGCGGCTTACATAAGTTAAAACACATTAAAATAGCATATAAAATCCACCCTTCTTTGTTTATTAAAATGCTTCACTCTATAACATTTGCAGTTGAAACATTCTACATTAAAAATGCTCTTAATGTAACTTGTGAGAATATCTGAGGAGACCTGCCTTCAAGGCACCATCTTTCACCAAAATGCTAAATAGTATTTTGAATCGTCACCTCTATGCTAGATTTCTGGAATAGCATTATTTTATAATGAGGGGGATTAAAAATCCACTTCGTCACCATATTAAGTGTAGGATGTGGTATTTCAATGGTGGTAATTCAGATTCTTTTTATTTTCTGGTTGGCATTGGCTTTTCTTAAAATATACATGATGTGTCCATTCTATGCTTTTGATCCTGGGATACTTGATTTCCTGTATGATTTAAAAGAACCATTCCAAAGTCACTGTGATGAACTTCTGCTGATTAGTTATCTGAATAGCCATTTAAGGACATTATGGATCTACATATTTGTTCTGCATATAATTGCACACTGTATGCAGGAACTCAATCTAAAAACAGTATTATAAAAATAGATGTTTAATTCTTGAAACGTGTTCAGACTTTTTTTGGGAAGTTGGTCACACATAAACAGTTTGTAATAAAAAGCTATCCTTTGCCTCATATAGGTTAAGAATGTATGTCAAGGAGAACATGCCACAGAATGGATTGGTTGGAAGAGTTTTAATCAGTATTTCAATGTGTTTGATACACTAAATGCTTAACTGTTGTTCTTTTTTTCTATTAATAGTTTATTCTGTGTCCATTTGATCTATCCAGAAATAACAAACTGGTGTATACATTCATTCATCATATTCATACTAAGGAAAATACGAAGAGCACTCAAAATAGTAAATGTAGTGATGGTGATACAGGGAATGTAATAAGAACATTTAAATTGCACACATATATATACTGTTTCCCCGAAAATAAGACCTAACCTGAAAATAAGACCTAGTATGATTTTTCAGGATGTTCATAATATAAGCCCTACCCCCAAAAAAGCCTCAGTTAAGTGAAACCCCACCCTCTACCATTGTTCAGCAACCAGAAGATGACATAATTGTATTTGAATATATGTAGATTGTTGTACATGAAAAAAATAAAACATCCCCTGAAAATAAGCCCTAATGTGTTTTTAAGAGCAAAACTTAATATAAGACACCCTGTCTTATTTTCGAGAAAACACTGTTGTAGCTAAGGCATATATAGTATAGGCATATATAGTAGCTAAGAACACTGAACCATGAGTTTGGAAACCATGTTCATGAAATCTCATTTCAACCAAAACCTAATAAAGCAACCTATGCTTCCATTCATTATTCTTTTACCATCAGCACAGATGTGGACAAGTACTTTGCTGCCTTACAAGGCTTCTGTAGGATGGCTGGGATAATGGATACAAAAGTTTTTGAACCCCTGAGATACAGTGGTGCCTTGACTTACAAACTTAATTGGTTCCAGTTCTAACTCGAAATGGTCGTAAGTTCAAGCGCCATTTCCAATAGGAATGCATTGAAATGCAATTAATCCGTTCCGGCCGAAGAAATAAATCACCCAAAAAACTCACAAAAACACAGAAAGACCCATCAGAAACGCAATTAATCCATTCTGGCTGAAAGAGGGGGGGAAGAAAAGCAAACGAACCGTGAAAAACCCTTCGGAAATGCAAAAAAAAAAAAAAGCAGAAAGCAAACAAACCCCGCAAGACCCATCAACGCAATTAATCCGTTCCTGCCAAAGGAGGGGGGGAGAAAAGAAAAGCAAACTGTGCAAGACCCTTTGGAAATGCAAAAAAAAAGCAAAGCAAAAAGCAAACGAACCCCGCAAGACCCAGCGGAAATGGGGAGGGAGGAAAAACACCAAAGAACAAACCCTGCAAGACCCATCACAGCATAGAAACATAATCCCACCACCTAGCCCAAAACCATGCTGCAAAACCCACCCAGAACAGTTTTTAAAAAGTAGCAAGCAGCACCTTACCTTCCCAGGCAGTCCGAAGCATCCTCCAATTGCACACACTCTAACTGCTGGGGCAAAAGAGCTACAAAGAAGCAGCCTCTTCGCCATCAATAGTTAGCAATTTGAATTCCCCGCCTTTTTCCCCTGCCTTTTTCTGGTTGTAACTCGAAGCTCCGGTCACAAGTCGAAGCAAAATTTTGTGGCTGGAGCTGGTCGTAACTCGAAATGGTCATATGTTGGGATGTTCGTGAGTCAAGGCACCACTGTACGTTATTTAAATGAGAACTGATGGCATAAATATTATACAGTGGTGCCTCGCTTAGCGATCGCTCCATTGAGCGATGAATTCGCATAGCGAGGGGGTCTAGGCCATCGCTGGAGCGTTCGCTCAGCGATGGCCCCTATGGCGTTTTTTCGCTGTGCGACGATCGGTAAGCAACTCGCTTAGCGATTTTCGCACAACGAAGCGGGGGAGAACAGCTGATCGGCGGTTCCAAAATGGCTGCCGCAACTTTTCCCGGTTGTAATGTCACTTGACAAAATGGCCGCCCCTATGGAGAAGCTTCGCTCAATGGTAAGTTTAGGGCCCATTGGAACGCATTAAACCAAGTTTAATGCGTTTTAATGGGTTTTTTTGTTCCGTTGAGCGATGTTTCCCATAGCGATGGTTAATCCGGAACGGATTAACCTCGCTATGCGAGGCACCACTGTATATTCATTGGGTGCTTTCTGTAGGAGTTAACTTTTTCAGCAAAGAAAAAGACTAGTTATAATGTTTATGAATTATGAATTGTATGTCTGCTGTCCTGTAATGGATATCATAACAGCATTATTATATCTTTCATAATTTCTTGCATGAGATGGAACTGCAGCTCTATACTAGCTGCTATTACAAATATACTGATCAGTATTAGTGATTGTATCCAATGAAGGGTGCACATGTCACCAATCCACAACACAGATAAACCTTACGGCAAGAGCCTCTACATTGAAGTCTGTTCAGCAACTCATCCACCAGGCATTTGAAGATGGCAGTCATGAACATCTTACTTCTGAAGATGGGTCAGTCTCTGAGCTTTAAATCTTGTTTTTTTACTCTGAGGTTGCTGAGAATCTTGTTTTCTGTTGTATTTATGCTCTTCGTGATTTTGTCTTATTTCGTATTTAAATTGTTTTTGTATTCATTTGTTTTTAGACTGCTAGAAGCTTTATACTATGGGCCAGGATGTTAACAAGCAAACAAGAGCACACTATTTTGGATATATGTATAGGTGAATATTATATAAAGTCCTCCTTATGGACCATATTTTCCCAGCACCAGCAAATGCCAACTCTTTTTTTGTTGGCATTTGGAGCCAACAAAATGGAGCCCTAGACATATATAAAGGTCCCTGAATGCAGTTTCCTGGATCTTAGTCTTATGGGTCATATGACCTACTGCAGAAAATGAAAGTACTCATCTACTAACTGTAGAATGGTTGGTAGTGTCAAGGTGGTGCAGGTGAAAATAGGTAAAGTGATACTGTACTCTTGGAAACTTCTGCAGAACCAGATTTTCAGTCAGTGACTGCTAGAAGAAACAGGAATAGAACAGATTATTTTTCCTTGATTATGAAAAGATCTAATGCTGTCCTGGTTATAAAGCCGTAATTCTGATAGCTTCTTTATCTCAGTGCAGCTCTAATTTTTGCCATGTGAGCAATCTGGAGATGCATCTAACTCGCCAGATGTAAAAGCCAAAGGAGTCCTGTGCTGCTTGGTTCCAAGACCTGTTAGCCGTCCTGTCCTCAAGTTCTGCTTTCTTTTCTTGCACTTTTCCCTTGAGCTTCATTTTCTGTCACCCACAATAATACTTATATTTTAAAAATTTCAGAGTACAGTACTACTTTTGTAGAAAATGCAACAGACATATTTGTTTGTTTGTTTGTTTAACTTATATGCCGCCCACTCTATCCAAAAGTCTCTGGGCAGCTTATAACAATTGTGAAATACAAGACGTCAATATCAATCAGTCAATCAATCAATTCTTTATTTAGAGTCCTTAGACCTATCACACAGAGAAGTGGACAGCCCAGATCCATAGTCTCTGCAATACATAAAAACATCAAACATAGACATAAAACAAACAAGTATACAAGCAATTCAAAACCCTCCATACCAATAACAGAGTCAAGTATGAAGAAATTTCTGAAACTTGCAAATCGCCAGACAGAAACCAGCTACCTTGTATGATGTCTTACTATCCCTGTGTGAGAGGAGATACTCTAGTCTAGCTTTCTCTGATCAGTCAGGGATGTTTTCAATCAATGGAGTAATAATCTGATTTCGTGCTACTGCATAATGCGGGCTGCGGAAAAACATGTGCTCCATGGACTCAACCTGTCCAAGGGAGCAGGAACACAGCCTCTCAGCAAGTGGGGCATGATGTCAATATAGATAACATGTTTTCCCCAAATTACAATTTAGCAAGAAATAGATTATTTGTTTACTTTTATTATGGATTAATCAATCAATTAACTGCTATTAAACTAAACTGTATATGATGAGATGTAGATTATAATACATGGCAAAACTCATTCCATTTATTTGATACAACTGCAACATGTATTCTATTTTTTTTCTCTGAATGTGATTAAAAGTTGAACCAATGAAACCGAGGGTGGTTCCCTCAGCCATTTTAACTGAAATTAAATTTATTATCAGTATTTTAATTCTATAATGGAAATTTATTTTCTATTTCATTAAAAAGCACTAATAATAATCTAATACTGAAATGAATTACTGTATACTGTTTATAACACCACATAATATGCTGCCAATAATTCAGAAGAGATTGATAGTTTCCCCTCATGGATGGAGGAGGACTGCCTAAGGGGCTTTGCATTTCCAGCACTTAAATCTTATACAGTACCTGAAAACATCTTATTGTCATGCGTGTCAACAGAGGAAAAGCAATTTATATTGTTATCCCTGGGCAGCCAACAAGGCAATCCTACCTGGTTTGGACTGTTTAGGACTCAGAACTGTCAAAATATCCTAAGCCCTTGTGGGGCAAGTTCAGTGGAATATAAAAAAGAAGCAGGGGTAATGCTTTCATTCTCACTGCAAGTAATTCCAGGTCTGGCATAATTTCTGCCGCATACTGGGACCATGGCTGAGGAATGGAAAGGCTTTGGATCATGTAGATACATTGCTTCTTCTAGAACACAAAGGAATCACCCAGCAATGTACGCCCTCTTCCCCTGCTCCAGTGTTAGAGAGTTAACGTCCAGAGAACTTTCTGCAGAATGGACACTACTAGTGTACTGCTATAACTGTGCAAAAACTTTGTCTTGTATACAAGATGTTACAGTGGCTCTAACCCTGGCTGTGTTCAGGTAATGCCTTCCAAATTGTTCCAAACAACAAGCAGAACTGAATAGTAAAAAGGTTTATGTTATTACAGTCATCTTTGCATAGCATGACAGCCTCAAAGTTTTTTGGAAAAACAGAATAAGGCCAAGAAGAAGCTTCTGGAAGCAAATGTCAAACGCTGCTCTGTTGCACATGCAGGTGAAGGGGGGGGACTGCAGTTGATAAAGAGTTTCCAGACTGATGATTAAACTTCAAGAAAGAGTTGTGAATGAATATATTGGGAAATGTCACTTGACAAAAATATTCTAGGTAAATACTAACATTCCATACTCCTTAAAAATACTTAAATTTGCTGCTGTTTTTGAATATTTTTACCTTGTTAACTGTTAATAACACAACACCAATAACATAAAACTTTCAGAAATACTGTACTTTTGGAATATTCTTCCATTTTTGCTTCTTCTATCATCATTGTATATCTTCAGGACATTTTTGGGGCATATCAGAGGATACTTGAAGACCATTTAATTTGACTTATACAAACTGGAAAGTCTCTTCCAACTCTGTGATTTAGCTGACAAGAGAGCCTAAAAAGATGTAAATCAAGACTAAAATAATTTAAAATACAGACCAATATTCTATTGTGCTTCCACTAAGCAGAATGTCCCACCAGTGTAATAAGCATGAAACAGCACTAAAAATTGTGTTTTATGTCAAGTCAGTTCCAACTTACAGCAACACTTTCCAGGGTTTTCTAGGCAAAGGAATACGTACTCAGAAGTGGTTTACAATTCCTTTTTTCTGTTGGTATCCTGGAACTGTGCAGCTTGCCCAAGGCTACACAGGAAGCAAAGTGGGGAATCAAACTTCCCATCTTTGGCTCTACAGCCAGTACCTACTTCCCATCTTTGGCTCTACAGCCAGTACCTAACACACTGAGCTATCTAGGAAGCATCCTGCGTTACTACAGTGGTGGAAATTTTTGTTCTGGTGGGAATTTCTGTTCAACAGCTGACTAGGATACTGGCTTAGAGTATTCTTAATCAAAGATGTGTATTTATTTTTCTAGCATCTATAAGACTGCATTTCACTACAAATTCCACTTATACATTTACACATATGAATATGAACAAATGGAATAGCAGTGGAGGTTATCCAAACATTAAACATAATTTTAAGTTTAAATATAGGACATGGGGAAAAACTGAGGAAGGAGCAGAACTTACCTGTAGTAAGTATTCTAGTACAGTAGTAGTATTCAGTAGGCCAAATTACATTGGGAGCTTGTTGGGCTGTATTTGAGCACTACAAGTTCTGATTAGTATAGCTGAGAAAACAAGAGGAATGGAAGGGAAAAATAAGTCTAAGGATGAACAGTTACGTTTTAAATGGTAAGTGACAGAACACAGGTTTATTAATCAGAAGTTGGTGGCTGATTTTCTAGTTCATATTTGTGGTACAACAGCTACTGAGTATATGTAAAATACTACCTCCAACATGACTTGTAGTCAGAAAGAAACGGCTTTAGTGTGCAACTGTTACATAATCTGGCAGGTTCACTGCTAGATAAACAGACAAAGAAGGGCAGATGTTTTTGCAGTGTCAGCATCTGTGTGGAAGGGCTATTTAACAGTGACTGACTGTTTCATTCTCTTCCATCAGAAGTTCTTACTCACTTTTGACTTGCTTAGTTTAATTGTGACCCTTCTACTGGCTACTAGTCCAGATAACAGAGGGTAGCTATAAAGGTCATTTATACTATTTACACATGGCAGAGATTGATACCTGCTAGCTGTAATGGCATCTCAGAGATGACCTCCTGAGGGCAGTATGGAGGTCAGATGCACACTGAGAAAGTATTAGCATGCATTTGTTTCTGTGCAATCTGCTGTGAAGCGTGTATGCCTTGTGTCTTGTACAATGACACAGCAGCACATGACAAGACTGGTAAATGCTGACCTCTATAATGCTCAATTAATCCTTGAATGAAATGCTGGTAGACATAATTAAGACCAACACACAGTCTTCAGAGTTTGCTTTTTGCAGAGGTCTTAGTCATTTAGGATTTCAAGATCCAAAATACTAAGTATAAAACATTTGGCAGATGCTGACTTACTTTTGCATGTAATCTATGTGGCATTTTGCATTATGACACACTGAGCAAAATCCTGTTGGCAAAGTTATGCCAGTAGACAATTAGAACCAAGTGCCAGAAATAATTAAATAATTAAAACAATAAATAAATAAATGGAAAGCTCCACCACCACCCCATTTCAGGTTCTGAGACTTCTTGGGGCTCATCTTTGGGAGCCTTGGGATGGGGGAGCAGGGTGGATAGAGCCTTTAATAGTTAAAAATCACAGCTGGATCACAGCCAATGGAATCACCCTATGCCAACAGGATTTTGCCCAATGTATGAGTGTGTGGGGAAATTTTATATTGAAAAATTTGGGGCTTGGTTTGTTTGTAAGTGGTTTGTTATACTCATTTTGTTTTGGTTTTTTGTTATGCTCTATTTTTTCAATAAAATGCATGTTTGCTCTTTTGCTTTTTAAAATATGAAACAGCAAATTTTGATTCCAGTACAGCATATAACTTCATACCATTCAGCTCCAGCCAAGAGTGTATGTGTGGTAAGGGATCAGAACTGTACTCTGTCCCGGGCTATTTGATGTCTACATAGGTGACACGTTTGAACAGGGCTTGGGACAACCAAATCTGACAGATATAATTCCAAATAGTTTAATGATCTTTATGAACTGATTTTGACCAGTCATCAGGGCAAAGAAAGAGCCTCTGAGTGTGGCCCCCTATTTCAAAGCACGGATGTCAGAAGGATCTCTGAGACTTGGCTAAGCAAGCAGATTTTACCCATTTAAAGCCAGATCTCAGTATCAGGTCATTAAAAAACTGACTCCCCAATCTTGGGCCTCCAGATGTTCTTGGACTTCAATTCCCAGAAATCCTGGCCAGCAGAGGTGGTGGCGAAAGCTTCTGGGAGTTGTAGTCCAAGAACATCTGGAGGCCCAAGGTTGGGGACCCCTGCTTAAATCATATGAACAAAGAAAAGGGACTCCTCTGTGAGTCAGAAATGTGAATTGGTGAAGATTCTTATACTCCAGGAAGCACAAATGAGCATATTAGCAAAAGCAGAATAATTGAATTCTCCTCAGTGAAGAACTGGCCTTGCTCCTTTTTTGCAACCATGCAACTCTCGAATTAGCCTTCTTAGCCACACTAGACGCTATTCCAAGACCTCTATTCAGAGCACGTTACCATAGTTTCTTGAGGCTGAAGGATGCCTACAAGATGCATTTTGGTCAATAGGTAGGCACCGTTACTTGCTCAACTTCTAATCACATAAATGAGAGCACTTCACTGCTTCCCTTTTATTAGTTCTTCTTACTGTTAAAATAAGATATATTTTACTTTCATTGCCTCCATGCCCTGCACAAGGAGAATAGCTAGTAAAAACATGGGATGCCTGACAACTTTAAAAATAAGGATTAATTATATATTTGTAAAGAGCTCTAGAAGAATATCTTAAAACTGGACATTTAAAATCTCCCTGATATTGCATTCTAGAATAGCAGGGTCTAAAATTCTTGTGGCTAGCCCGGAAAATGAGGGGAAGAGATAATAAAGCAGGGGTGAGAAATTTATGCTGCTCCAAATTTTACTGCCATTCCCATTGACATTTGCTAGCATAGAAAATGTTAACAGTAGAGATGGGTATGAATTAAAATATGAATCACTAAAGTCTTTCAAAAATCACTAATCTGTCAACTCATATTTGTATGAATCAACGGCCCAACTAATGCAAATCAATAAATGTTTAGCAATTTTTTATACATCTATTTGTTTGGCTGTAAAACAGCTCCCCGGACATCTAGAGACACCAAAATTGCAGGGAAGCGTCCTCTGTTCTTCTCTACAATCCTGTCAAGTTTGATGAAGATTGTGTTTCAGTTGTCTGGGTTATACACCCGCAAAGAGCCCCCCCTAAGGACTTAGAGGCACCAAAATCACAGAGAAACTTCTACTGACTCTACAATCTCTCCAAGTTTGGTGAAGTTTGAGTTTCCCCAACCCAGGGCACTGTCAGTATATAACTTGGAAGTCTGAAACCCAGTCTTCACCAAACTTGGAGGGACTGCAGAGGGCAGTTAGTAGAAACCTCTGCAATTTTGGTATCTCAAAGTGCCTGGGGGGAACTTTCCTGGGTGGGGGCTCACTGTGGATGTATAACTCAGAAGTCCGAAACCCAAACTTCATCAAATGTGCACAACTTCTAGAAGAGAGTCAGGGAAAGCTTCCCTCCGAATTTCGTGTCTCTAGGTGCTGGGATGGGAGACATTTTATAGGGTTTTAAACTTAAAAAATGATTTGACGAATCAATTTGTCAAGAAAAAAAATGATAATTCATGATTCATTTGCCTTGAATCATGAATCAAAACAAATCACAGATATTCTGATTTGTGTCCACGTCTAGGTAACAGATACTGGGAATTGCAGCAAAACATGGGTCACATACTCTATTCTCCATCTTAATGAAAGCAAGTAGCAGTGTTCAGAATGTTGAGGGGATAGAGAAAATAAAAGCACCAAGCATCCAGATGCCATCATGGAAATCACAAATGCACATACTGTATAGAGTTCCTGTCCCATCTTGCAAAACACAACAGAAAACCTAATACTAGGGCTTTTAAATTGACATTGAAGGGATTTGCAATGATTGACAATAATTTTAAAATTATAAACAGTATGAAGAGCAAAGAAAACATTTCCTCCAAATAATGGAACTGAGGGTTGGTTAATTAAATTCATATGTAGGAGGCTCAGGAGACAGAAAAGAAAAAAAAGTCCTTTAGTTTAACACAATACATGATGCCTAATTAACTTACAGAATTCACTGCCATAAAATGTAATGGTTGCATATAGCTTAGCTGACTTAGCTGGGAGAAAGTCCAACTGCAGTTTCATGAAACTTGTATATTGTGCAAGAATAGGTGATACCTTTATAAAAGGTAAAGGTTCTCCTTGACGTTTAGTCCAGTCATATCTGACTCTAGGGGGTGGTGCTCATCCCCATCTCCAAGCCGTAGAGCCAGCGTTTGTCCGAAGACAGTTTCCATGGTCACGTGGCCTGCGCGACTAGACACAGAACGCTGTTACCTTCCCACCATGGTGGTACCTATTTATCTACTTGCATTTTTACATGCTTTTGAACTGCTAGGTTCGCAGGAGCTGGAACAGGTGATGGGAGCTCACTCTGTTGCATGGATTCGATCTTACAACTGCTGGTCTTCTGATCTTGCAGCCCAGAGGCTTCTGCGGTTTAAGGCGCAGCTCCACCACGTCCCCGATACCTTTATAGGTCACTAATACAAAGTCATGCAATATGCAAGCTTTTGTGGGTAAATCCCACTTCTTCAAAGCAAATACAGTGGTGCCTCGCTTAACGAGCACCTCATTTAACGACAAAATTGCATAGTGATTAGGTTTTTGCAATCGCATAACGATGTTTTGAATGGGGAAAATCGCTTTGTGATGCTCGGTAAGCTGTTTCGCTTACCAATTTTCACATAGTGATTTTTTCCAACAGCTGATCGGCGGTTCCAAAATGGCTGCCGGAAAAAATGGCCGGCCGCTCTTTTTTGGGACGGATTCCTCACTTACCGGGCAGCAAAAATGGCTGCCGTATGGAGGATTTTCGCTTAAAGGTAAGTTTTTTACCCATTGGAACACATTGAAGGGGTTTCAGTGCGTTTCAATGAGGTTTTTAAAATCGCATAGCGATGTTTTCGGTTAGTGGCAATTTTTGCCGCACTGATTAACATCGCTATGCGAGGCACCACTGTACCAAAAATTCCAAACATTTGTGGCATGATGGAATTTGCCAGATTACTCTTAGATGTAAAGTTCTTGGCAAGATGAATTTCACCAGGCACATCTGTCTTAGATAAGGCAGGAAGCAGTAAGTTTTTGTTTTGAAGTTATGGCTGAAGCACCTGTGGGTTGGATTTCACACTCCAGTTCCTCAAACATGGAGGCACAGGCCATGCACACACACGCACACCTCCTCTCCATTTGGCTCTTATTCAAAACAGACATACTTCTGCTTGGCCAGGGAAGCAGGGGTGATGCAGAAAAACCATGTCCTCCATCTGGGAACTGGTATATAATTTCATAAATCCACTAGGTCTAGCCAACTGGGGTAAAATTAAAGTACAAATATTACCTAGTGGTTGCAGTCCTGCTCCACTGGTGTTGAGAATCCATGGGCCTTCTTGTTGGTACATGGGGGTGGAGCTCTTTCTTGGTATCCGCATAGTTCCGTTTAAATAAAAGGGTATTGTACTGTATTGTATTGTATTTTAGCTCATTCAAAAACTACAGTAACCAAATGGAACATCGTAAATACCAGGTATCAGAAGATAAACAGAACAAAACATGAGCTTTCCTCAATAAAACATAATGGACAATTTTTTTGTGTGTAACTATGCTTTTTGGAGGCAGATTGCTCCAAGAATTCACTGTAAATATTATCAGTTGCACACTGTGTTGTACAATTCAGTACACAACTAATAATGACAACATTGATTTCTTAACTTCAGGCAATTTGTCTTCAAAAGTTAAAGCCATTTCTGCCATGTCAGCATAATTAGGTAAGAAGATTTGGGCCAATGAATAGGGTATATAGATCCATATGAAATAATTCAGATAATCCCCAATATAAAATGCCTCCACAAACCCTTTAAGGGCTGAGTTGTCAGTCAACTGAGCAGATAAATCATGTCTGCTGATTATTCAGTCTTTGAAAATATTTCACCACAAATAAATATTCCACAAGGCAAACAATGCCCTTGTTTAGTTCCTGGTCTGCCTTTTAAATTACAGTGGTGTTAAATCTGCTAGCTGAGCTGAATGTGGAGGTCCCTACTTCCACTGCTATAAGAGTTTGGCTATGGATGTACACTTGATTTAAGGTTCTTAACCACGCCTCACAACAGCTTTAATTTTTCAAGTTGCTAAATTTCCTTTTAATTCATTTGATAAAATGTCAAGGTTTGTCTAATCTGATTTTGAACAAAAATTATAACTTTCCAGTCTTTTCCTAATGATCTGGGATACAAGCCAGAAAGAACTTTCCAAGTTCCCTTGTCTACTGTTTGCATATATGCAGTACAATGTTATAAAGAGATTATTATTATAAGGTAAAGGTAAAGATTCCCCTTAACAATTTGTCCAGTCGTGTACGACTTTAGGGGGCGGTGCTCATCTCCGTTTCCAACCCATAAAGCTAACGTTTGTCCGAAGACAATCTTCTGTGGTCATGTGACTAGCATGACTAGACACAGAATGGCATTACCTTCCCACCGTGGTGGTACACATTTTTACATGCTTTCAAACTGCTAGGTTGGCAGGATCTGGGACAAGCGACAGGGGCTCACTCCGTCGCGTGGATTCAATCTTATGACTGCAGGTCTTCTGACCTTGCAGCACAGAGGCTTCTGCAGTTTAACTCGCAGCAGCACCACGTCCCTTTTATGATTATTATAATAGCTTAGAATTTAGTGTTATGGTTTTACCATAATAAATTAACCTAGCTTTTAAATTAGCATCTTTTTGTAACATTTCTACTAAATCAGTGTTTCAGATACGCAATTGTTATTTCACCGTTTTTAGCCATATCGGACTATGATTTTAGGTTTACCTAGATTATCAGGCCAAACCTTTTTCCATGGCAATATCAGCATTGATATGGAAGTGCCACTGTACTGTCAAACAAGAGAGTGTGTTCAGTGCAATCTTGCAGAACTTCATACACTGCCAAAGCAACATTAGATTAACTACTGTATATACAAAATGGCTCCCTTGTGAGCCCTTCTTTGAATTCTGGGAGCAACCAGGTTAAAACAGTCTCAGATAGTAAGACTGCAAAAGGGACAACAGCCTGGTATTGTAAGAATCCAGTGCCATGGTGTGGTTCATGTAAAATAGTTTCATAACAAGCACAAAATATTATATGCTGCCACAAGCCCTTTTGATAACATGAGACTGACTCTCAATTTTACACCATCCTTTTTGGTGTACAGTAAATGTCCTCCACAGTCCCTAATGTTGGCTCTTTTGCATCAGGCCTTCAATCGTAGGTTTCACACATCAATTGACACAGAACTTATGGTGAGGCAAAAAGGGCTCAATGTACATACCTACAATATGCCTTTCTCAATAACTGATTGAATGCTTTGGGTCTCAAATGACTTTAAAACAAACAGTATGGAATAGACTAGCAACTTTTCAAACTCCCACTTGATTTGCAAGTACGTAGCTCTGTTTGCTATGCATGCCCTTGCCTTCGATAAGGCAGCTTGGCTGAGTCAGGAGACAGCTCTCGAAAACTGTTCTCACGTTTGTGAAGGGCAAGTGACAATAAAAAGACTATTTTTCGTGCTCAAAACTGGACTTGGAAAAGAACATGAACCCTCATCCTTCGTAATCAGTCACTAAGGAGAACCTAAACTGCAAGTTTAGGGGACGCAAGAGGGGAGCCACGCGTCCGCAGAAACGTATCTGCGTATGAGACCCTCACCTCTGCCATCCCGTTACTTCCAGGTAACGACGTGCCATCAGGTCACCGAGAAATGCCTGCAGCTGATACCAGCGTGCCAGTCCTAAGACTGATCATTTATTTATTTATTTATTTAAAATATTTCTCCTTGAAAAGGTCTCAAGGCGGATTACGTTATTAAAAGGCAATATTACCATGCTAGAAACAGAAAGAATGCACACACACACCCCGGCCAACGCCAGGCGACTCTGGCGGCTCCCGCCTTCACTGACCTGTCCTTCCAGGAGAAGGTGCGCAAGGAAAAGGCACCCGCCGGGGAAAAACCGCCGCACACACACGCTTTGCCACCCCCTAAGACAGACAGACATACACACACACACCCTCGGCGAACTGGGGAGGCTGAGCTCCTCCTCTTCGCCCTCCGAAGAATAATAGCTGGGCTGTAAAGGCGGGCGCCCTGTGGGCTCGGCACATCCCCCCCCACCCCCCGTTTCACTCCAAGGCGCCGGCCTTTCGGCAGGAAGTAGGACGCACAGCTGACGGAATCCCGAGGGGAAGTGGGCTGTCCCCAGAACTCAAATCCCTGAGGAAAAATCATTTCACTGGCGAGGCTGGAAACGTAACTCTCCCTTCATACACACTCACATGCTCATATACCAAACCTTACAGCCCCCAATTCACCGCGAAAAGAATCGGGGCCGGGGGGGGGAGGGGGAAGGAAGGCAGATTCAGCTAGGAGGACACGCGCCCTTTAGATCCAATTCTTCCCGCCAAAGCGAGCGGGAGACGGGGCTAATGCTGGTGTCTTCGTTACAAAAACACATACAAAGGGGGGGGGTGGTTGAAGGAGTCTAGGGGATGGGGAGAGGAAAAGAAGAAACTTAAAAGGAGAGGAAAACTGGCCGCCCCCCCCCCCCTTCTCCGCCACACGCCTCAAGTCTCTAGAGTTATTTCAGCGGCAAATGAAGTCCTGGCAGGATTCCTTAAATGCAGTAGATCCATTCCTCTGGCGCAGTTTCGGTTCCTATCATAAGCTTTTTATATATACCTTTTCCCACTGCTCAGGCACACAGCAATGCCCGCAGCCTAAGAGAGCGCTGGACGCTGCAACGTGGCTCTACTTGCTGCTTGATGGGTCACGGGAGGCGGCTTGGGCCACGTGGCAGCTCGTCCTCGTCCCAGGGCCCACTCCGATTAAACACAATTTTCAGGAAGCAGGCTTAATTCTGCAACCTATGCTTTGAGGGCAAAAACTTCAAACTGGCAGGTGCTGAGCCCTGGCTTTGCCCCCGTAAAGGAGCAGAGGAGTGAGCACAGGACTGTAGCTAGGGTGGGGGCAAATAAGAGTTTTGCCCTCCAGAGCACCAAACTTCAGAGGGCACCAAAACCTAGAGCTGAATCTACTTGTGCATGTCAGAAAAATAAATGCCAATGCCTCCTGGTCTATTGGTTCTTCTTGCTTCTCTTTTTGAAAGAAGCTTTCGTTTGGACATTGTGCTACTTTGTGCTTCTTTTTCTTGGTGGTTCCTCATACCATGTCTTATGGCTGAATAGGTTGGGAGAGGTGGTGCCGTTTGCTCCAGGCACCAAAATTTCTACATCCAGCACTAAACGGCGAACAGATGTCAGCCGGTGCTCCTCGTTTCCTGCTCACCTTTGGGCAATGTGGCAGGAAGGATAAGGTCTCCTCAGTGCTACCTAGAAAGGAAGTTTGAGCTGCTGCCTCCACCTGCCCATTCCCTCACATTCTCTGGGCAGTGCAGCCTACAAGGGCTGGTCCTGGAAAGCCCAGGTCTATCCTGCCTCTGTGTCCAGATGTGGTGAGCAGGAAAGGAGCAGCCACTGCCTTTTCTTGCTTGCTAACTTATCTCAAAGAAAAAGTTAATTGCCTCTGAACGGTAGAGGCTACACTACTAAGGCGAAGAGGCACTGCCTACAATGCTCAGGCCACATTCAGCTGGCCTACTTCTATCTGCTTCCCGTCTTATAAGAAGGCCATTGGGTGGCAGTGGCTATCAGCTACCTCCTCAATCTCTTTCTCATTTCTTCTCTCTCAGTCTTTGAAGAACTCAGCATAATTTTGAAGAATTTTCAACAAAAATCCATAGTATTCTCCTCCCCAGAGAAAGAGGAGATTCTTCCTGATAGGTGATTCTCTGCTCATAAAAGGTATGGGAAGAAAAGACTGAATTATCCAGTCAATGGATTGTTATAGAATCAAGTGGACTCCTCACAGACTCTGTATTTTGTCTGGGGGAATCGTGCATGCAGCTGTGTAGTATGAACATACACACCCACACACCCCCAGCAACACTGTGTTCATTCCGTCTTTTTCTTACTGTATACAGTGACTCCCGGAATCCTCAATCAGCATGATCAACGGCAAGCACTTTTGAGATTTCTAGTCCAGAACTACTGTAGTCCAAATTTAGAGAGCCAAGGTTCTGCACAGTTGTGTTAAATGTTAAGGGATTGTATTGCAGTGTCATGGAAAGGAAGGTAGAAGGGGACAAAACCAAAATTAGTTGGATCTCCTTACCTTTGGCTTTGACTTCACTTTCTGTTGCCCATCCTGCCCAAGCAGTCCCAAAGGGCACGAGCTGCCACTATTTATTATTGTGTGTTCCTGGGGGTTTCCTGGCTGGATACATGTGCGTGCGCGCGCACACACACACACACACACACACACACACACACACACACACACACACACACACACACACACACACACACACACACACACTTTTTCAGCTTCTCCTGCAGACTAGAGAACAAGGGACAAGACTGCTATTTACTCTTTTTTTGTCTGAACTCCTCCCCAGCAACAGCTGTTGATCAAGCTGCTTTTCCTTCAGAATGGGAATCTCAGTTTTAAGCATGTATTAGCTGCTCTCAGAGTGCAAATGTCATGTGACTAGTGGCTCTGAATAACAACTGGAACCAGTTTTTGTTCTTAAATGCTTCTGATTGTATTTGTCATTTCAGAGGAATTTCTCCTAATATGGAAATTCAAATAAGAATGCTAGTATGAAGAGCCATATGTAAACAGTGTTCTGATTTCGATAAATTTACCACCTTACAAGTAAATCTAGAAACAATGAAATTACTGAATTTTTGCATCTGTTTTCATCATGGAAGATGAATGGCAAATACTCATACCTGAACTAATTTTTCAAGGCATCTGAAGAACTAAGTCAGCAGAACTTTAACAACAAATTAAAACCAACAGATTAGCAGTTCTGAATGGGATCCAACCAAGAGTTTTTAAAACACTCAAATGGGAATTTGCATATGTCATACCAAAATATGAAATTTCCTTTGAGTGCTGGAAATCAGCTAATATAGTTCTAGTTTCTAAAACACTAATTTAACGTTTCTGGGTAAACCAAAGGCATTATTAAATACAAAATTATCATGGATATACTGTATGTTATCAAATCGATGACAGAACAAGTCTTGCTGAAGAACAGTCAACATGCTTTGTATGAAATTAAACCCTGTCTCTCTATAAACCTTCATAGTTTTTTTTCAAAATGCCAACAATCATGAACTTCTAAATAGTGAAATTCTAGAAGAATTTTCCCATAATCCCTTCTAAGTTAACCTTGTAATTGTGGGATAAGAGGGTAAGTCCTTTTATAGATCAGTAACTGGTTAAGACAAAGCAAAGTAGCAGTAAATACACAGTTTTCAAAGTATAGTGAACAACAACCTCTCCCTCCTCACCCAAGGATTCTCATCGGAACTGGTATTTTTTGAACTTTTTCCTAAATGATTTGGATTTTGCAGGAGCAGTGCAGTAACCATGTTTGCAGATCACACCAAAATATTCAGGGTGATAAATATCAGAAAGCAAATGATGAAAAGCACCTGTGAAACTGCAAGGGACACTGCACAGAAAAAGATACAGGGGTTTTCCTTTGATGCCTGAAGGCAGCCACCTTTTTCCTTTCCTATCCAATAACCCAGGAAGGGATGGCACATTGGATGTGCTGCCATTTTCAGGTCATTTCTAAGACACACTTTCAACAAGTGCAGCAAATATTTGGCCTTCTAGCACTCCACTCCAATTAGAATCTGAAAGAAGGAAAGCAACACTCAGGGCACTACATAGATAAATGCATTTGCTGAAAAGTTGTAGATTTCTCTTTTGGAAAAACTGCATGTAAATTAAATGGAATAGCTTACCGGTCAATATTGCAGTAGGGACATAATCTGAATCAAGATGGTCATCAAATAGGAGTGGATTGAACCATGTGTTTCTAATTATTTTAGGTACCTCCAGACCAACATATCAGTTCCCAGGGTCTGCATTTTCAGAACTGATGGAGGTTTTATGCTAAATTAGGGTAGGGTTGGTGAGGACCCTTCCTTCTAGCAAAGGCAGGCAGATATCAGGCTTACAGATGCCACCCATCCACCCAAGAACCCCAGACCATTTCCAGTGGTGCCTCGCTTAGTGATCACTCCGTTGAGCGATGAAATCGCTTAGCGATGGGGTTTTGGCCATCGCCAGAGCAATCGCTTACTGATGGCCCCTATGGGGGAAAATCGCTTTGCAATGATCACGGGGAAGCGATCATGGCAAAGCGACCCTTTTTGCACAGCTGATTGGCTGTTCCAAAATGGCCACTGGAAAAACAAAATGGCAGCCCGCTGTTTTGCCTCGCTTTAGAGGCACCGAAAATGGCCACCCCTATGGAGGATCTTCACATAAGGTCAGTTTTTAAGCCCATAGGAATGCATTAAACACGTTTTAATGTGTTTCTATGGGCTTTTTAAAATCACTTAGCGATTAAATCACTTAGCAACGTTTTTCCTGGAATGGATTAACGTCGCTAAGCGAGGCACCACTGTACCTGAAACCACATGCAAAATATGGACTCAGAAGGAACATACCTTAGAATTAAAACATTTGGATTTTTTTTTAAAAAAAGTGGTGGTATATGGCAGTTCAGTGTAATCTCTACTAATAGATAGAAATCTACGTTCTGTCCACCACTGCTTTATGGTATACTTAGAGTCATGGTTATCTAGCCCATTTCTCAGATATTAAGAAAAGAAAAATGATGTCTTTTGTGTCTAAAATTTTTTAGTTAGTTAGTTAGTTTGATTTTTATACCGCCCATCTGGCCGAGGCCACTCTGGTGGTTTACAGTATATAAATAAAATCAAATACAATTTAACATAAGAAAAATATAAATAATAACATACAAATAAATAGTAAATTCAAAGCATAAAAATACATCAAAATAAAACATTTAAAAATATTCAGAATATTTAAAACATTTAAGATGATGAACATTGGTCAAATAGGGTAATTAGACTGATCTGAGTTTGAAGGTATGATGCTATGGAATGCCTGCCTAAATACATTAGCTTGTTTTTTAGGGACTTCTTAAATATTCTAGGGCGTTTGCAATCGGAAGTTCATTCCATAGCTGATGATGGAACTTAATTTTTTAGTATCCATGAGCAGGGTTCAATAAACATGTCTCTAGGTAAAGATAAAGGCTCCTCT